TCGCAAAGATATGCTATTCACTTTACTTGGAAAATATGGGATTAAGAAGAAACACGCTCAGGTCTAGCTCCTTCTATGACTTTGGTGGACATAGTGGAAGTGAAGATGACGATCAGGTGATATCGACCGGAAGAAAATGAAGATTCACGAAAAATGATGGTCGAACAACAGTGGTCAAGAGATGACAATGTTGGTTGAACAATAGTGGATGAATGGTAGCAATTGAATAATAATGGTTGGACGATGTTTACTGGTGGTCAATATTTGACGTTAAGCATAGCTCTAGAGTTCTTCAAATCTTCAGGCTCTTTGTACAAGTCCTTATTCCCTTTCATGTGAAGAATGAGGGTCTATTTATAATTTTAAAAACGATGATATTTTAAAAAATCTAACTAAAATCCCAAAAGACTCAGTCGAATAGCTAATATTGTTTCATTTGATCATAGATCAATATTTTAACATTTAAGTATTTTAATTACCTCATAATTGAGTAATATTAAACTCTCAGGATTTGTATCATTGAGATGCTCAATTTGAAGAGTGTAAGATTTAGAGGGTTTTTAATCCTTCAATTAAAATCTTAGTTTTCAACCAAATTTTTCATGTTTGAATTAGGTTCATTCGAGCTCAAATGATATCAATTTTGATATCGTTAGGTTCATCTCATTGAGAAGTTCAATTTGGTTAAAATTTTACTGAAATTGAAGGTTGGATAATCCTGAATCTAAATTATTTTATCCAAAATGCAACAAGATTTATGTCAGATCAAGTGCATCTTTTGGTGACATATTACTCTTTAATATCAACCCCCTTTTTAGCAGGCCCAAATTTAAGGGTTAATATTCATTTTAAATTTTGAGCAAGACATTTTAAAAAAAACCTAATAGTACACATTAAATCATTTATCATCATCAAAATGAATTATCACAATTCGCAAGCCTCTGATTATTCTCCTACACTTCAAAGCAAGGTCATCATTCTCCATACAATAAGGGTGTCGAAATTCCAAGCAAACCAATGAATAATATCAAGAGAAGAACTAGAAACTAAGACATCAATAAAAGAAAACGAAGAAGATAACCAAATCATCCAAAGTAACAATAATGTAAAGTTGGACATCTAGGAAATACTTTCAAAGTTAGCTACTTCAATGCATTATTCTCCTAAGCCCTGTAATTTTTCTTAACCTTCCACAATCCAACGAAGAAAAAAAAAGCCTCTTAATATCTCTTGGTCAAGCCTTAAATATATATATGATTATACTTAGCTTACTTAAGTGCAATGGCCCACTACCTACATAAAGCATTCTACACAACATAATACTACCTAGAAATTCTAAGAATTGATGCTAAAATTATAGCCTAGGGGTGCAAACGAGTCGAGTCAAGCTCGAGCTCGACTAATTTGGCAAACTGTAAGCTCGAGCTCGAGCTCGGCTCTTATTGGTAGCAGTTGGCTCGTGAGCCAACTTGCAAGCTCAAACTGAAAAACTCAATTTTCATGAGAGCTCTCTAGAGAAGGTATTGGCGCTCAAATGAGGAGGAGGCATTGAAGCTCACCAGAAATATATCGAAATGACTAGTGATAAGTTAATTGAGCCAACTCGCCCAACGAGCAGAGTCGGGATGAGCTCGAGCTTGTGGCTCGATAAGCTCAACTTGCGAGCTTGTTAACAAGCCTAGCTAGAGCTAGCTCGACTCATTTGCACCTATTATAGCCTTGATATTATAATAATCGATGATCCATTCCATCTAAAATGACAAGAGTAATGATAGAAATCATCCCCATAATTTCTAGACCATTTTTTATATCAAAAAATAGATCTTGTCAAGAGGGTAAGAGGATTAAAAAAAGTTCAACCCAGAATGAAGCCCTTGAGCCCACACGTGAATAAGAAGATCCTTCTATATCAAGCTAGGTTAGAATTGTAATTTAAATCAATTAGAAAGTTTAGTCACCAAGCTCACAGAGTAGATGGTCATACAAAAAATACATGTACTTTCAATGCAAAAGGTCGACATTGCCATTGCTAGCCATAGACATGGCGAGATGGAAATTTATCCTAAAGAGAAGGATGATGCATAGGAGTTGTTACTTTATGATGAGGAAGAAAGAGGTCAAATCCAAACTTAATAACCAAAATCATCTTTCATCTAAATTATTGGCAAAATTAGAAGTCCTCTTACATGGTGGTCCAATCGATGTAAAAATGAATAATTGTGTGAGTTCATTAAAACCCCTACTTTTTAATATTAAAATATATGAACCATGATGAGTAAAAATGATGTGATCTGGGATCTCAACTTCATCATCATTAAACAAAATATAATTCTATACGAAATTAATGACTAGAACTATGGATCACGAAAGTCATGCACAAAATTGAAACATCACAAAATTGCCAGAACCACTCCAATAGTCTCTTGCGTTCTGTTATGTGTATTTATTCTTCATTTTTATTGGCCGGTTCTAACTAATTGCATTTCTAAATTAACTTGGCATAGTGGTCTAAAAACTCTCCCTATTTAAATGGAAAGAGGATTGCAATTGACTAAAGATGCATGAATTGATTTATAATAATCAAATAAAACCATCAGGAACTAAATGATATAATTCTATTCATTGTGTGGGAGAATATACCCAATATTGTCTATGGGAAAAGCTAAACCAAGTTAAGCCAAAAGGGGATGAATTTTAACTAGAAATTTGTCAATAGTTTGTCCATAAAATGAATAAGCAATATCAATATGACAATCCAACAGTAGATAATCAAGTGGGAAGAAAGTATCATAATACCTTTGATGTTACATAACTGCCAAGTTTGGCGTGAAAAGAAAAAATGGAATTAGTTCAACTCTGGGTAATAATTTTATGATTTTTTTTGAAGTAAATTTCTAGTATGATCAAGTAAGTGTTAGCTAATTCAAACAAAAGTTTAGTTGGTAAGGGTTCATAAAAAACATTTACTCCCATACTAGACATCCATTAAGGAAGCATGACATTTCATGGCTCTAAAAATATATATGGAACCATTTAAGGTGGTGGTGGTAATAAGATGTGTAAGCTTAGAACTGTCCATGATCCTCATGGAGCGGGATATCAAAATCAAGACAACACGAGAAGGTTGATGATGAGGTGGCCCAAAACCTCAAATTTGAGATGGAAGTAGCCATGAATAATTAATGGTAAGAGTTTAATTCATATCTCCAAAAGATGAGAGACAACTAAGGCTTGATGGGTTTAGTGGTGGTCGAAAGCCATGCCAACTGATAACAATGCCACGACAGATGTGGCACTATCATAGAGACTAACATGAACATTAGTGACCAGGTATCCAAGAAACTAGCAACTAGAGTAAAAAGGGGGTAAGCAAATGCGAGTTTATGTGTGCTCTAGCACCAGGGAGAAAGTTGGCAACCAGAGTGAAGAGGTGATGTGATTGACGATTTAAAACAAGAAGACATTTGCATACATACCACTTAATTCTTATGTATTTACATATCTAACACCTAAACTTTATTTTTTAGTTTTTTACCACTCTAATCTTTCATACCATATCAAAAATACCACTCTTTTAACTTTTAAGAAGTTAAACACACATTTTCAAGCATAGGTAAGGTTGCATATGTTAAAATTAAAGTTTAGGTATCAGATATGTAAATACATAAGCATTGAGTGATATGTATAAATCTTCATAGGAAAACATATAGGCAGGGATAATCAAGTTGGCACTGAAATTGAGGTAAATTTCAGGTGAAGGTAAGATTCTGAAACACAGCGCAAGTAATCATCCTTTCATTCAATTTAGGGGCATATATTAATGCCATAAAGCTATCTCTAGCCATCTGCATTAGTTTCATTTCTAGGTATATCGAGTTGTTCAATATAAGTATTCATCGAAGGAATCATTCCATTTAAGCAGAATCAATACTATCAAAAGTTCATTTGACAATTTGCGCTAGTATAACGAACAATTAGCATAATTGCATCCTCTACCAAATGCTAGCAGACATTTATCCATTCAGGCTGCACAAAATCATTTCTTTCTGCCATGAAATCCTATCATACAGCAGACCAGCAAGAGCAATCACATGTTGGTATACCCCACATCTTACAAACACTATTGAATGCTTCTATTCTATATAACAAACACTGCTTTCATTTGTAATATCTCATTTAACAATAATAAATTTAAAATTCCCTAGGTTCTAATTTACAAATCTCAACAGGAGGAAAGAGACCATGAGGTCATCTCCATGCTTAATTAAACAAATTCATAAATGATGAAACTATAATATTGTCACATAAGCCACATCCCTCTCTTGACAGCAAATAACTAATCTTCCAAAAGAAAATTCATCATTTTCAACGAAGCAAAACAATAAGGGGGCGTTTAGTAGCACCTTTGAATAGGATTTAGCATCGGATTTATGAAATCCAGCCAAACATAAAAAATGCAAGAATTCTGCAAATTAATGAATTTTTGAATTTAGGAGCCAAAATTTTGTCTTTGATCCGGCTTAAATCTGGATTTACTAAATCAACAAGGAGGGCGAATTCAACTGATTTACGATTTTCAGATTTACTGAATCCTACTAATGCTAAATCCTACTTGCAGCCAAACACTCCCTAAAACTTGAATCAGGCCACCCAATTCAATCAGCAGAAGCTTCATCTCACAACCAATAACAGATAAAATCATTAAAAAAACTAAAAAACAGTCCCACAAAAATACAGATAAAATTACAAAGCACCACAAAAGCAACAAAAACTAACTAATAAACAATTGAATCATAGAGAAATACCTAAAATTTCTCTAACCTAAAACACAAATCTGAGCATCCTCACTTCCTTCCCATACCAATAACTCATTCAAAATCACCCCAAAAGCACTCGAATTCACCCAAACACAAACAAAACGCCAAACTATTTCGTTGAAATATGGAAAGAGAACTGAAAGGAACGAAAACAAGTTCAAAAAAATCCATAAATCAGCTCACCGCCATCGAGGAAAGAGACCCGAAGAAGAAGAAATCCGATGAAGGGGTTCAAAATCACCCCTTTGTTCAGTCGTTTCCTTCGTCCAATTGCAAGAAGACGAAGCTGATTCTTCTCTCAAATGGAAACGGTAGTAGGAAAATCCTGAACACAGAAGAGAGAAATGATTGACTCCAAAAGACTAGCTATAGAACTCGTGCTTCCCTTTTGGACTTTTCTGTCTTCTTCCTTTTTTTTTTCCCTTCCATTTCTCACTTCCACATCGCAATCTACTGCTTCAGCTGTAACTAAATTCTTAGGAAAATTTTTAAAAATAACATTTTTTTATATATTTATTATTTTAAATTTACTCTAAAAAATTAAAAATTTTTAAATAGACAAACTTATCAGGTCAACATAACAAAATAGTTGTGACAAAATCATATGTTGATGTGGCAATTTTCTTTGTTACATCAACAAGTAAAATTACTTTATTACATCAGGACTACGAACGTAGAGCTACGTTCGGATTGCAATAGTTAGAAATATTCTGTTGTATTACAAGAATATTTAATTTGTGTTATTTATAAAAAATAAAGTGTTATTTGAGTATTATATGGTGTTATTCGATTATTTTACAGTGTTATTGGAATATTCCCCCCATTACTTGATTTAGGGCGTATTATTCCAATAACATAATGAAAATTGAAATAACATGAGAAATATGACGAATAACACAAACTTAAATCAAGTAGCTTAACTCAAGTAGCGCGGGAGAATTTTCCAATAACACCGCAAAATAATCGAATAACACTTTATTTTTACAAATAACCCAGATTAAATATTCATGTAACACTGCGGGATATTCCTAACTATTACAATCCGAACGTAGCTCTACCTTCGAAGTCCTGATTTAATATTTTTTCCTGAGATAATAATTTTATTAAAAAAATTTATTGAGGATTCTTATATATTATTAATATTATATTATAAAATTAGAACATTAATTCTATTTAACTCTCTTGGTAGAGTGCAAGGATTCTAAGTTTGTGGTTGTGATTCGAGCCTCATGATAATTATATATTTTTTGTTTAATTATCCTTTTAACTAATTTAATTTAACAAGTAAATTAAAATTACAAAAAAATTAATAAATGTTATAATCTCAATTTAAGGAAAATTAAATATAAATTTAAAAATTAAAAATTATAATATAAAATAAAATAAATTTAATTATATGAAATTTTCATTTAAATATATATTGAAAGAAAAATAAATTAATAATAATTTAAAATACTTTTAGTTTTCAAAAATGTTAAATACGGATTTTTAGAAGGTGAGTATCTTCGCAAAATTTAGCAAGATTTTAAAGATAACATTTTCTATATATTTATTTTTAACATTATTAAAACTAAATGTATTTTAAATTATTATTTGCTACAAATTAGCAAGAATAATTAACTTCATTTTCGTCATCAGATTGATACGCCATTAACAAATTTCTTCTTTTCGACATGAATCCCGAGGCACGACACGAATTTTAAGATAATCTTTTGACTAAGAAACGTTCAAACTTACAGTCAAACTGACCAGCAGACAAGTCGAACCCAATGATATCAAAATTGGTCAAATCAAGTCCCGATCAAGTTATTAAACCACTTTTGAATGTTTTTTTGGATACTTTTGGAAGGTCAAAAGAACGTCGAATCCGACAAGTTCATAGTCGAATCGAGCGTCTCTGTGACATGAATCCAACAAGTTCAATATCGCTCAATTTCAACATCGTTAAGACACTCAAATGTCCATCAAACGCAGTGTGATCAAATGAAGCTCTCCGAGTCATTTGATCAAAGTGACTCATATTCCTGCATTAATTACACCTTGAACTTTATAAATTGAGCTCCACCTCTCTTATGAGCGGGGAGGAGAGGAGAGCTGGAAGCTTGAAAAAGAACTTGAAGTTTTGAGGAGAAGCTGGAGTCCAACATCACTCTTGCTTTAGTCAACCATCGACAACCGCCGTCGACCACTTTTGACCGTCGTCCACCTTCGTCGACCGTCGTCGACCACCACCTATTGTGCCCCTTAGATCATCATTGTCTACCACCCACTCTTTATGACAAGAGCGTTCGAGACATTGTAACCCAAAAAACTGTGTAACCCTTTCCCGCCTGTGGAACAAGGAGTCTCTATAATCATCAACTTATAGTGAATTTTTACAACTGGGTCAGACTCCGTGATATTTTCCCTTGTTTTTCCACTTTGGTGTCTCTAGTGGTTGTTTTCCTTCATTTGAGTGTGTGTTGAATTCTTATGCAATTCTAAGATGATAATCTTTTGTTTACCGCCGTGAATTTTTTAGCACGCATCAGTTTGGAACTGTCTGTGGGAAAGAAGCAACGTCTGACACTTTCTTCAACTCTGAGATGCTAAGCCACAACTACATCATCCAACTAGCGAAGGAACCCCCTTTGCATCTTGAAGATCATCTCTAGAGCATTCATTGATGTGGGGGTCAACCTTCACTGCAGTCTCGAAAAGTCGTTCATGTCAACATCCCGAGCACGATTTTAACAGGGTTGTCTTCTCACATCATATTCAGACACAGTCTTTCACAACTTCTTCCAAGCTAGGGCAACGTTCATTGTAGTTTCAAAAGTTTGTTCATGTTAACGTCCTTGGCACGATCGTAGTAGGGTTGTCATCTCATATTTCATTCAGACAACATGTCTTTAAAGCTGCTTCCAGACAAGGAGCAATCTATATAGCAAATAACGTTTCCTCAACACCTCTTCACCTTACTGGAGTTTCTCATCAACCGGATCATGAAGCAGATCTCTAAAAGGCTCCTTATATGGGTTATTTTACAAGCTAGTGTGAAAAACACTCCCACTGAGAGGCAAAAGATTCAAAAGCAACAACTAGCAAGTTTTCAAATGTTATTCTAGAGTATGAATGTAACCATATTTCCAAAAAATCATACGGTTCATCACGACCTATGCCCCATTCTCAAGAAACGCAAAGCATCTCCGATACCTCATTTTGGGCTTAACTATTCCCAGGGGACTTTATTCAACCAGTTACATCACATGTTGCAGTTGTCAAATAGAAGCTATGACTAATAGCCTAAGATAGATCAACAATCCATAATGAATTTCATTCGACCTCATTCATTGCAGGTTATGGCCATCAAGCAAAAGCTTTGACAAACAACCTAGGATAAATCAACCACTCTCAGTGGATTTCATATGACTTTGTCCGTTACGGGTTAATGTCGTCGAGCATTTTCGGTTATACAACCCAGAACTGGTCTTACATCCATTGTGGATTCTCCTTTTAACTCTAGTCCAACATAGGTTACAGTCATCAAACAGATGCACTTCGACTAACAACCTGGGAAATGTTGAACATTCGTTGTCGCAGAGAAGGTCTCCTTCGGTACTCATAGAAGTCGAACCCAAGAGACAAGGCTTGACGGAAAAATATGGTGCCCCTGGAAATCGAGCTCAAGAGGCACGACTCGATAGGAAGCTACCATGCTCCTAAAAACCGAGCCCGAGGCAAAACTTGACAGGAAGATACAATACTCCTTGAAGTTGAACCAAAGATGCAAGATTCGATGGGAAGATACAATACTCTTAAAAGTCGAGCTCAAGAGGCAAAACTCAATTAAAAACTATCGTGCCCCTTGAAGATGAGCCCAAGAGACAAGTCTTGATGGGAAGCTAGTAATGAACATGATCCTCACTAAAAAGACACCAAGAGAGCAAGTAGTTGATAGAATCTCGACCCAAAAATCTCAAAAGGCTAAAAGCATTAGAAGACACATGTACATTAATTACTTCAGTATGCCACATGCCTCAGAAGTCTATGAGCCTCAAAATGATGTGGCAAAATCGTTGCTACGTGGCGATTTTATCTATTTAGAATATTTTTTTAAAATATATTTAAAATAATAAATTTATAAAAAAAATATTGTTTTAACCACTCAATTACTAACACAAAAACTTTTATCATTATATTTGTTGTGTGGATACAAATTTGCAGCTATAAAGTTGTATATAACCTTCTTAGTATTATGTGGAGATTTGACACCCACACTATTAAAAAGAATTGACTGAAAAGATAGCGCAAGTATTTACGTGAAACCTCGAACCGTCAAAAATCATGAGGTCTAGCTGAGTTGAAATTATTTTGTTATGTCGATATAAGTAACAAAATTTTATCGGCACTTGAATTGTCAAAGGCAATATTAGACAAGTAGGACGTGAGTTTCACGAGGGAAGTGGCAAAAAACTCTATGCAAGCGGTGATGACCTGGTTGTTGTAAAGAAAAATCGTCAGTAGAGATAGTGCGCCAGCAAAATCGGGTGTTAGTTTCTTCGGTAGTAGCGGGCAGATGTTGGTTGTGCTATTGCGGTAGCGGTTGTTCGACAATGATGACTGGCAACTATGGTCCCATGGTGGTGGGGCTCAACGACAGTGGTCAGGAAGTGGTAGTCTGGCGGTTTGGCGAAGGTGGTGGCTCGAGCTGTGTTTGTCTAGCAGTGGCGGTGATCAGTCGTGGTTGTTGGCCAACTCCGTGCATTCGTGCATGAGCGGGCTCAGGCTGGACTTGTGTTTGCAGTGACAAGTCGAGCATGAGCAGACCCAGACTTGACTTGTGTTTAGCTAATTTGAAATTAAGTCAGTTCAAAATTGGCTTGCCAATAGTGTGTTGATGTTCGGCTTGATTTACATTAGGGGAGTCAAAAATTGACCCGACTCAAAAAAATCTGAGTTAGGGTTGACTTGAATATTTTTCGAGTCAGATTCGGGTCAAAGAATTCGACCCATTCATTATTCGGGTCGGGTTTAGGTTGAACCCAAAAATTCAAATATGACCTGAATAAACACAAAATTTTGGGTCAAGTTTGGGTTAGCGGGTCAAGCTCTGGTTTGGGTTGACCCTATTAGAGTCGTGTAATTTTTTGGTCAAAGTCGAACCTGACTCGCTGACCTGAATTGACACAACAAATTTACATATTCTTGTTCATGTTCAACTCAAAATTAACTCGTTTAAATTAATTAGAAATGTAGAGTTATGGTGTCAGATTCAACCTGCACCATTTCTATGCAATAATAGACACATCACCACATGACTATACAAGTTGTGGGTATATATATATATA